CACAATAGACTTCTTTCAACATAATGATGTCACATTGTTACCATGGCCACCAAGATCTCCCGACTTATCCACAATTGAGCACGTGTGGGATATAATGGGTAGGAGATTGCTCAATTTGCAACGCCCTCCTCAGACTCTAGAAGCACTTCGAGAGGAGTTGGTGGTTGCCTGGAATGAGATACCACAGGAGGACATTGACCACCTGATCAGAAGCATGCCTAGGCGCGTTGGAGAATGCGTAGCACATCAGGGTGCATCCACACATTATTAAAGGTCAAAGGGCTTTAAAGCAGTGCAATCATTTTGAAATTTTTATCATTTACTTATTATGCTTCATTAAGTACTTATACAAAATTTTATTAAAATAAAACCATTTAAACTGGGTGTTCGGATTATTATGTCACTTAGTATATGTCATGAACCTAATTCATAGCCAGGGACTAAGTAACTACGACATCAACTAACTGTTCAGCAAGTACTTCAATCTTTTTTTGAAGTTGATAAGTAACAGGTCTTTAAGATCATCTTGCAACGAGTTGTACAGCTTGCGGCACTAAAGTTAGTATAGCTTATCAACATTGTACAATTCCAAATATTGTTGCATGAACGGGCATAACATTGACAAATCGAAGCAATGGCACGAAAGAAAAAACTTGAGTGTGACTATCGTATTTTTGTCATTCGAATATGCCTATATCATTATAGTTTATCAACAGATTTAGTAACACATTACGTAGTTTGCACTCACGCACTGACCAACTTTGGTGGTTGTAGTCACTAGCAGAAAACGACGAATACTACTTGCTTGTCAATAATTAACAATAATAGATCATAAAAGTAAAAAAGACAGACGAAACGTATCCAGACGTAGCTCACGCTTAAAAAAAAGTACTGAGCTACAGTAAAATCATACATGCTTGTTTGTAAGGCATAAACAGGTTAAAAGCAAATATTAAAATTAGTAAGACAAAAATAAAATACGAATAAATATAATATTAAAATTAGTTAAAAATGTTTGCTGTGAATGGTAACAAAATTGTTAAAATTAAAGCAGCGACCTTCGTAGAGTGGGATGTGGAATGTGTAAACACAAATCAAGAGCAAAATATAATACATACACTCCTGCTTAATTCTGCAGTCTTATTATTCGACAAACTTTCCTAGTTGCGAATTCTCAAACTAATGGTTTACATGTAGGGGAAAATATATTTTAATTTGAAAGTTCCTTGAACGCACTGTCAAAGAAGTCAGTGGTATGCTTAGTTAAGCCCCGAAATATCACGTAGAAAAATTTGATAGCGTCGATTCGGATATAATCAATGCAGATTAAGTATCTTTATCTAAACCGTCGACTCACTACTTCGTCTGAATCACTCAAGTAGTTCGAGAAAGAGAAATGTGGAGTATAGGGATTAAAATAGATGAACTTGAATGACCCGTATCTCAGCAACGACGCCAGCGTTTCTGGCACAGCTCACATACACACCGACAGATAGATCTACAAAAGTGAATCGCGTTGATTTTTTATAAAGAACAAATTTGGTCCAATCCCAAACATTGTCAGGTTATTACAAAGGGTACTTACGAGCCCCTTCCCACTTCAGTTGGCCCAACTATTGAAATCTTAGTTTTTTTCTTATCAAACACAAATAATGAAAATGTGGCAGGGTGTTATGGGTTTAAAATATGAACAATGAATGTTTTGATAATATATAGTAGAAAACACCAACTTTATCACTCCCTAATCAAATTTGCAGCATAAAAATAACACATGATGCAATTACAGCATATCAACCTATTTTCATTTCAATGCAAAATAAGTCTATAACGCATAGGTGGCTGTGAAAAATAAAAGCCATGACAATTGTTCTTATTAATCACAGTTGTCAGAATACGTTTAAAATAGTTTTGGGTAGTTAAGGTTTTCAAAATGGGTAGAGGAAAGGTTATTAGTGAGAAAATTCGGTTACTGATAATAAAATTTTTTAATTCTGGGAAATCAAACTCAGAAATTGCAACTTTATTAGACTTATCGCGGTACAGTGTCAGAAATATTGTTAGAAGATATAACGTAACTGGTTCAGTTAATATTAAGCCACGATATGTGAAAAAAAGTAATATCACAAATGCCGACCGAAGAGCATTAAGAAGAATAATCGTGAAAAACAGGCGCGCCAGTTATTTACAATTAAGTGATCTGTGGAGTGACGCTGTTGGAAGGAGAATTTCGAGGTCCACGACTCATAGAGAGGCCCACAAACTGGGATTTAGCACTTGCAAGGTAGGTTTTCTTATAAAAAAAAGTGAAGTAAAACCCTAAAGTTGCACAACTTGTTTATAGGCCAAAGAAAAGCCTCTATTAACTTCACTGCAAACGAAAAATCGGCTTAGATGGGCTAAAGAACATAGACAATGGACACCTCAACAATGGTGTGCAATACAAAGGAATGATGAGGCCCGATTCGAAGTTTGTGTTGGTGACAGTCGCAGTAGAGTTATTCGCAAAAAAAAATGAGGCATTCCATGTTGACTGTCTGAAGAGAAAAGTGAAATTTTCAGCATCCATTATGGTCTGGGGCAGTATGTCATCAAACGGAGTAGGAAAACTTCATTTTATTGATGGAAATGTGGATACAAACAAATATTTGGCAATTTCAGAAGAATCGCTTTCACCAGTGATCGAAGAATGTTTGACATCCGGCCAAGATTTTGTGTTTCAGCAAGATGGTGCAGCGTGCCATACCTCAAAAAATGTTATAAAATGGATGGAAGAAAATAATGTACCACTTTTGAATTGGGTTTCTAGCAGTCCAGATCGGTCACGTATTGAAACTTTGTGGCACGAGATGAAAATGGTTCTACGAAAACATCCTGCTCGTACAATCACCGAAGAAAGAAAATTGCATGTAAAAAAAAAGAATAAATTAATTTTTAGGCTAAAAAGCCTTATTTTTTTTAAGAAAAAAAAACATTATCATAAAATTAACTATTTTCATACTCTCGATAAATTCCATAATTTATTGACTATTTAAATTAAAAATTAACATTAACATTATTCATATAAAAGTTAAATTCCTCATAAATTTAATTTATTAATTTATTAAAAAAATCACAGTACATGCTTCATTTAACACAAAAATTTAATCAATTTTAACTTATTCTATAAAATTAAATATTAAAACATAAATTAAATAAAATATTATTAATTTTCTCCTTAAAATATTTAAAATTACTTAATCTTTTAACATTTTAACTATCAAATTATTCCTAATAAAATTATTTTAATCAAGTTATTATTCTTCTAACAAGCAATTCTTAATAAAATCATTTAAACCAATTATTATTACCTTAACAAGTTAAAATTTTTAAAATTAACTCATTTAGCTTATCATTAAGCTAACAAGTTATTCTTAATAAAACTATTTAGTAATTTTTTAACCCCCTAGCAAGCTAATAAAAAAATTATTTTTACCTGTTTATTACCTGAATAAATTAACTTTATTTATTTTCGAAAATTAATTTATATTTAAAATTCCCAAAATATAAAAATATTTTATTTTACCCATCATAAAAAAACAATTATCAACGTAAAATTAAAATTTTTTCCCTAAATAATTTTTACTTAACAAATAAATTTAATTTTTAGATATTCGGTTTTTCGTACATATTTTAATTTAAGTAATGGAAATTAGAGAGAAGAGACAAAAGCTTCAAGAGAAGAAATATGGGATTGTTTTACACCAAATTTTTGCCAAAACTTGGTTAACACTATGCCCCGTATTAAAAAATAAAGGTGATGTTACTCAATGGTAATCTTTCAATTGTTGCTTTGTTAACTTCGCGCATTTATTCGCACATTGTTTATTTGTTCAGATGTTCTATTAGTTATAGGTCTAAGTGATTTCAAATATGTTTTTTTTTACTAGAGTGTATTTAAAATGTTTTTGAGAAAATAAATTGTTTTAGAAGTAAATGGTTTCGTCATGTTTAGTTTATTAAGGCATATTTTGGTACAAATGATGTGGGCCAACTGAAGTGGGAAGGGGCTCGTATAAGTTACTGCATGTTGAGACATGTCCATGGGTACATAGTAGTCGCCAGTAGAACGTCTGTTGATTGGCAGAGTTGCTTTAAGGACTGGTTTATGCATAAAAAAATAAAGCTGTATTGCAAAACTTTTATAGTACCCTTCATTTCCTGAATTATGATAGGCAATTTGAGTCATCTCAGAGTAATCTGTGTCAAGCAGTAGCTGAAAAAATCACTGGATCATGATGAACTTGGCATTGTAGCAACAATTATACGTTCAATTACAATTTACATTCCATCATAATATAGTATCAATTTCAACAGTTTGTAACGTGACAGAAGTGATGCAGTCATGATTATTTTAACTATTGTGTGATTGAATACCACCCATATAATCAACCTCTCAAGTTAGTCATGCATCTACCAGGAAATTGAGATTTTTTAGGAATTTAAATTACACACATTTGCAATGTGCTGCTTCTAGAAGCTATCAGTTTCTGTGTTTATTTATTTATGATATTAAGAGTATTATCAAAACGTATTTTTCTAGACTAGAATTATAATACAGCGGTCAAATAACGTATATCCCAAGAGTTTGGGCACAAAATGTTTCTAGGATTTTTTTTAATGAAGAAATTTATTTAAGCACTAACTAGTTATCATAAATTACAGCTCATTACTTAACTAAACTATACTATCGAATTATGTGGCGTGGTCTATTCTACTCTGTGCCAAAACTTTTGGGACATACGTTAGATCTAGTGTGGAGATAGCAGTAAAAAATGAAAAGATAAAATCCGATCAAATTTCGTTTTTTGGCGTTTCAAAAACTCCTTTTTTTTTTGGAAATTTTCCTGAAATGCAGGGGCATATTCTTCGAAAAGTAAATGGAAAACTGTTTTCCCAAAAGATGAAATTTTGTGGAGAGCATCTGGATATTTCAGATGCAGATAAAATAATTTTATTTGCAGAGCTGCGGTCCCGATCCAGAATGCGGTGCTGAGTTCCGGAAAGTAAAATTTTCCGAACCAGAGAAGAAGTTCATCCTTGACATCCACAACCATCTAAGAAATTACGTGGCTAACGGAATCGAAAGGAGGGGAACTGGTCAACCACCTGCTAGTAACATAAATGCACTGGTAAAACTATTTTTACATATAACTTGCAGGAGAATGATAGGAAATATTGAATTTTATATTCTCTTCAGAATTAGCAGTTGTTTTAGTGAAAGCTTAGAACGTTTGCCATCGAACGTGCTAAGCATCTTGCTAACAGCGAGCTAATTATCATGGGTGTAATGACATATGTGAGAAAAAAGCAAACTTGTGCGGATAATACGTGAAGCAATGAACACTCACCGTCAGTTGTCAAGGTCTTGGTCAGCTTTAGACTGAGAGGAACTAGTTTGTTTAGTTCGGTTACTGCTACGATGCTATTCATATATCATTTTCAACTGCAAGACGTGTTAAACAAAACAGGTGTTACGTGAATCAACAGTTGTAAAAAATTATTTGTTTCGTTTCTGATAGCAGTTATTATCTCCTAGTAATTTGTATGCAGATTAAGATAGTTAGTACAGGTACAATAGAATCGTTTTTGATGAGAACTGTATTTTCTATTCTGAATTTCTTAGACATATAACGAAGAACTGGAGTTCATAGCACAGTGCTGGGTGAATAGATGTAGAAGAGAGTTAGCACACGACAAATGCAGAAAAACATGTAAGTATCGTAGATTCACTGGACAACAAATTTTTGTTTTTAATTGTATCTTGTGGGAAAAGTGCACTTCTTTGTTAATTTTGGGGCGCTGAATCCAAAAATGACAATGAAATAAAAAACTTAGTTGCGGTCTAGAAAAAAAACTTTTTATTTTTAAGGATATATTAAAAAAAGTAACAAGATTCATATACTTATAAGAATCACTATATGCGCTGTCTTTTTGCTGTTCTTTTATGAATCGTTTCTGGAGCATCTCTACCAAGAGTCCAACAGTAGTCTGCAAGCATGGAAGGATTCCACTTTCCCTGGTACCTTTTTTCCATTGTTGAAATATCCTGATGAAAACGTTCGCCGTGCTCATCACTTACGGCTCCGCAATTGTCAGGAAAAAAGTCCAGGTGTGAGTGTAGGAAATGTATCTTAAGAGACATATTATAGGCCATCTTTTGATACGATAACAGCATATTTTTGACAAGGGTTTTATTGTTGTCAGCTTTTCTATTTCCCAAGAAATTAGTGACCACCAGACGGAAATCATTCCAAGCAGTTTTTTCAATACCTGTTAAAGTGTTTTCAAACTGTGTATCTTTCAAAATATTTCGAATCTGTGGCCCAACAAAAATACCTTCTTTAACCTTTGCCTCACTTAGTCTTGGAAATTTCTGACGCAGGCATTGAAAAGCTGACCCATCTCTATCTAATGCCTTGACAAAGTTTTTCATTAGGCCCAACTTGATATGCAGTGGTGGAAATAAAATTTTTTTCGAATCTACTAATGGCATATGCTGTACATTTTTTTGACCTGGCTCTAGGAATTGACGAACAGGCCAGTTTTGTCTGGTGTAATGAAGTGCCTTTGCCCGACTGTCCCATTCACACAAAAAACAGCAAAACTTTGTGTAGCCTAGCTGTAGCCCAAGTAAAAGTGCAACTACTTTCAAATCGCCACAAATATGCCATTGGTGCTCATCGTATTTTATGCATGACAATAGGTACTTCATATTGTCATATGATTCTTTCATGTGAACTGCATACCCTACAGGAAGAGATGGTAAAATATTTCCAATATGCAATAACACTGCCTTTCAACTCAATGTTGAACTGTCTATAAACAATCTCCATTCTTCTGGGTTATAGTTTATATTTAAAGCCGCCAGTAAGCTGTTAATGTTACTGCAGAAAACCAAGTTATTCTCCATATTGAAAAATGGTTCCAAGTCTTTGTGGCGTTTACGAAAAACACATACCGAAACATCGTCTTCTAACAAGTTCCACTGCTGCAGTATTGATCCAAGTAACTCTGCCTTACATTTTGGAAGTTCTAAATCTCTTACAAGATCATTTAATTCTGACTGTGTTATTTTGTGCGGTTGGTGGCATGACGTGCTCGGTATAAAATCAGGATCTCTTGACGTTGATGACATATCTTCTTCCTGACGAATCACTCGATCGCCATGATCTGATTCGTTTTCTGATTCGCAAGTGTAGGATTCTGGGGGTTTTGGAATAGGATTTTCGTCACTGTGAGGCACAGGTCTCATCGCAGATGGTATGTTTGGGTAGTTAATAACCGATTTTTTTTTCTTAGACATACCTGTGGCTTGTCCAACACAAGGTACCATGCAAAAGTTACAATCATTAATATGATTTGTAAGCTCTCTCCAAACCATTGGGACAGCAAAGCGCATAGACCGTTTTTTGCCATTTAACCAGCTCCTCAGACTTGAAGCACATGTATTACCACTTTGTCTTGATCACCTAGTTTACAACCGAAATAAAGCTGATATGCCTTTGTTATTAGTGGAGTAATAAACCGTCTCTGAGACGCAAAAGTCACATCACTACACACGTAACAAAACTGATCTGGATTGTTTACACACTTTCGAGACATCTTGCATGAACGCTGTCAGCCAACTGAGGAAAAAATGGGTAATATAAAACAATATAATGTACACGTATGTATAACGTAACACAATCATGCCGATTACATCATCTTTCCTTGCCGAATATAAAAATGTAGCACGTGCATTCTTGTGAATTACAGTATATTAACGCTGTCACAGCAGGAACACATATAATTACCGTATCTCTAAAACTTGAACTAATATTGAAAAAATAAGTTTCATTCCGGTTTTAGCACATGAAAAATAGTAATATTTTGTTGATTTTATTTAGGATATTTTTTGGCTGTTGATCAGTGTTATAGACAAATAATAGCGGGTCTAAATTCTATTGAAAATCATGCAACAGAACATAGCCTCTAGAGCAGGGTTTCCCGTTATTTTTTTTTTGTTGAGGCATCTCGGACTATAAATTATATTTTCAGGCTCCCCTTTACTGTTTCAATAAATAAATAAAAACACATATTATATAGGTACAAGTACTTTTATTTTAATTCAAGTTTAGCTCATTCAAGGAGTCAAATATGTATGTCAGTTAAATAAGCCAGCCTCCTTTGAAATGTGTTATCTCTAAGCATTGTCAAGAAATTGGATTTTTCTTTGAACTCAAGAAAAATAATTACCTCTTCTTTGAATTCATAAAGGCGAGCAACATGTTGCCTTTGGACAGTCAGCTTACTTCTATGTGGAACAGAAGAACTTTGTGATCAGAATCGAGATCCTCGCAAAGTAAAGTAAATAACCGACTGTTCAAAGCGCTGCTGTTGATATATACTAAGTGACATATAAATCCGAACACACAGTTTAAATGGTTTTATTTTCATAAAATTTTGTATAAGTACTTAATGAAGTATAATAAGTAAATGATAAAAATTTCAAAATGATTTCACTGCTTTAAAGCCCTTTGCCTTTAATAATGTGTGGATGCACCCTGATGTGCTACGCATTCTCCAACGCGCCTAAGCATGCTTCTGATCAGGTGGTCAATGTCCTCCTGTGGTATCTCATTCCAGGCAACCACCAACTCCTCTCGAAGTGCTTCTAGAGTCTGAGGAGGACGTTGCAAATTGAGCAATCTCCTACCCATCATATCCCACACGTGCTCAATTGGGGATAACTTGGGAGATCTTGGTGGCCATGGTAACAATGTGACATCATTATGTTGAAAGAAGTCTATTGTGACTCTGGCAACATGTGGTCGGGCATTATCTTGTTGGAAAGTTGGATCTGCCAGGGTGTCAAGATAGGGTAAAAGATGGGGTTCTAGAACTTCGTGGATATAACGCTGCGCGTTCATGTTACCTCTGATGAAGATTAAAGGTGACCTGGAACCATAAGCTAAGCCATAACTCCAACAGTGTGATGAACATGTCTTTCAACAAAAAACTGCGGATTCCTCCTTTCACCACGTCGCCTTCTAACCCTGGCACGACCATCGTGCATGCCTAAACAAAATCGATACTCGTCACTAAAGACAGTACTGTTACATTCCTGATCCCAGAGTGACCGTTGTCTGCACCACTCAAGCCGCTCGGTGTTCTCGAGTTAAAGGGAGGACCCAGTGTGGCCGGTATGAAAACAAGCCAAAACTTCTCATTCGTCGGTAAACACTTCGCATGCCAATAAGTCTTCCGTGTTCTGCAAACCATTCATTTGCAATGGACCTGGTAGTGGAGAAACGGTCCCTTAAGGCCAATAATCTTAGGCGGCGATCTTCACGGTCTGTTGTTCTACGGCGGCGTCCAGTGCTCCTTGCTCTTTGCGTACGGCCTTCTCGAAGCCATGCCTGTCAACACCTAACCACAGTGTCTACACTTCTTTGCACTCTAACTGCAATTGCCCGAAAAGAAAGTCCAGCTTCCCGAAGTCCCACTATATGGCCCCTATCAAACTCACTAAGTTGACGAAATCGTACAGGTCTCCGTACTCTAGGCATCGTAACCGATCGTAAAGGATGTCAAGAACCAAAATCCGCCAACGTTGATTCTTTACTGCGGCTGAAATATTCATTTTTAGAGCGTTAGTGAATTAAAAAAAGCAGTATAAAAACCGGAATGTCCAACTGATAAGGCTGAACATTTTTTCACTTGTTATTTATTCCTTATATACATCTTTGACATTTCCAACACCCTTCAACATTGTTCTAGTCAATCATATGCTGATGATATGCAGGTTTTTCATAATTTCTGTCCGAACAACTACCATTTAGCTAACAACCTTATCAATCAAGATCTGCAATACTTATGCACATATGCTGAAAAACATAATTTACGTCTAAACGCATCGAAATCGACAGCTATACTTTTTTGCTCCAAGAAAAAACGTACTTTCCTCAAATCAAAGTTAAATTTATCAATAAATAATAGTATCCTAATATTTTCCCATTCTGCAAAAAATTTAGGTTTGTACTTGGATGAAGATTTCAGATTTCAGGAGCATGTTGGCTATGTGTGTAAGTCTAGTTATTTTAGACTCAGGCTTCTATATGCAAGTAAAACTGTTTTAAATAGAAAAATTAAGAAAATGTTATGCGAGTCACTCATACTCAGTAAAATCGCTTACTGCAACATAGTTTATTATCCCTGTCTGGATGAAATCACAAAATACAGACTGCAAAAAATTCAAAACTCATGTAGTCGTTACATAAACAATTTAAGAAGGTACGATCATGTTTCTCACTCAATATCTTCAATGAATTGGTTGAAACTTTCTGATCTTTTCAAATACAACTTTGTTACATTTGACGTAAAAATATTAAAAACTTCTGTTCCCGTTTATCTTATGCAAAAGCTTGTTCGTAGGAATTTAATTCACAATTTGAATACGCGCAACATTAATCTCCTGACAATGCCACAACATAGGACAGCCATTTTTCAACGGTCTTTTACGTATAATGCGGTGAAATTGATCAACTCTTTCGAACAATGTTTCATCAGCAACTTTTCTAAAAAAAATATAAAAACTACTTATTGAGCTCTTAGGTTATTGTCCTCTCTTTGAATCGTACGTATTATGTTTTTTGTTCTAATCGTACGCATTATGTCATATTTATTAATTCTTCTTTTACTATTATTCTTCTTTTTCTTTCTTTTTCAGTTT